GATTAGTTGCCATATGTCTGATATTACTTCAATGACCACCCTTAAAAATGATTTAATTATCTGTGAAGTGCTTTGGAACATTCTGAAGCCAATAAAGACTCTAGACAGATGTAAGTCCATTCTTGACTTCTTTGGCATTTGTTGCTTTATGTTGCAGCCTATGAGTGGAGCCAGAATGGAGGATATTGTGGTAGCAGGAATTGCAGGAAGACTGCCAGAGTCGGACAACCTGCAGGAATTTTGGGATAATCTCGTCAATGGCGTTGACATGGTAACAGATGATGATAGACGATGGAAGCCAGGTGAGTACTGAGAGAGTTGAAAGTGTTTGCTGTTCATTTTCATGATTATTAAGTACATTCGATCTTTTTACTCACAGTCCATTATAAAAGATTTTTTCTTGTGTTACTCCGCATTACCTGCTATGAATCTTTTCTCGTGCAGTTTCCTTGTTTAGCAAGAAAAAAAAGCAGTTCTAACTGTTTGTTACTATTTACAATGTTATGGTGTTGAAAAGTTGCAAACATTAGTGGAAGCAGAATGGCAGTATTATGAAGTTCTGGAGAAATGTATAAAATGATGCAGAGATTTAGACAGGGAACAAAGTAATTCATCCTTCTAAGAGTCCTTCTCCATAGAGCACATTTTCTGCTTTTGACTAAAAATAATCAAACTTTTGTGACATCTAAGAGGCTCTTGATACATCATAGGGTTCTTTGGCAGATAACTCACACTGGGTAGCAAGTATATTGATTATCCTATGAGTGAGAGCCAGTGGATTTTGCTTTGAAAAGACTAATTGTGCAACAAAATGATAATATCAAAAATATTAAATTTGATTATGGTTTTTAGGACCTTTCGAATGCTGATTAGTTGCCATATGTCTGATATTACTTCAATGACCACCCTTAAAATTACAACGCCATTGACGAGATTATCCCAAAATTCCTGCAGGATTACAATAATTAATTCCACTGTATTGATACTTGAGACAAGAGAAGCTTCTCGAGAGAATTATAATATGAATGCAAAATGGTTTAATTCCTCATCAATACAAGTAAATTGAGGTGTAAGTCCAGAGTAAAGGCTCAACCTTTCTCTGGAATTAAGTAGTTTATATTTCCTGGAGAAAGGAGTCTCATTCTCATTTGTATTGGTGTCACATCCGACCCTTTGTGCAGCTGCTTCCTACAATGCTATAATTGGTTTACAAGTGTAGCCCAAAGCTCCCTGGAGAATAAATATCTGGCATTATTTCTCAGTTTTGAAGAAATAGATGGGTTTTAATTCTGCAAAATGTGTGTCAACTTGGCTCCATTGGTAACGTACTTCCTTCAAGGCCAGATAGTGTAGTTTGGAGTCTTATTGGAGACTATAATTGAGTGCATCATTGGAGGTGCTATCTTTTGAATGAGACTGTAAACCAAATGTCTTTACAACTTACAAACACAATGCCAAAGAAATTTAGCAGGTCTGGAGACCGAAACGTGAGTAACGTTTCAAGTCTGGAAGGATTCTTCTTTCGAACTTCCTTTCCACAGATGCTGCGGAGTTTCTCCAGCTTTCTCTGTGTTTGTTTCCGATTTCCCGCATCCACGGTATTCACTAGGGCTGCTTGCGCAGCATCATCCAAACACCACAACCAGTACCATCTCGAATGACAAGGGCAGCAGCTAGACAGGGACATTACTCATCAGAAATTCCCCTCCATGCCACCTGCAATCCAGAATTGGAAACATATTGCTGTTGTTTCAGTGTCAAAATCGAAATCCTGAAATTGATTGCAAATTGAGTGGGTGTACCTATACCAAATGGATTTCAGTGGCTCAAGACAGCTCCCTACCCGTTCTTGAAGCAATTAGGGATGGGCAATACAAGCTGGCAGCAAAGCCCACATGCCCTGAATGACTTTTGAAAAATCTTCAGCTGACAGTCAATTTGTTCCTGAATATTTCAGCTCTGTATGAGTACTTAAAAGTGAACCAGTTTCCCCTTATTTTTCTTGGAGTGTTTGGCCTTCACTTAGCATCTCTTTCCCACTTGCTCTTTCTTTTGAACACAAATTAAACAGCAAATGATCTTTTGTTTTTAGTTTAAATTTAATGAGTTAAGGTATTAACATTTGTCTTGATTTTTCTTCTAGGACTATATGGGCTCCCTCACAGAAGTGGGAAACTGAAGGATATCAGCAAATTTGATGCCTCCTTTTTTGGTGTCCACCCCAAGCAAGCGCACACAATGGACCCACAGCTCAGGATCATACTGGAGACTGCATATGAAGCTGTTGTAGATGGAGGTGTGCACACTATTTTCTAAGGTTGCAGCAATGCTGCATTTTGAACTTGCAATTGTAATAGTTCATTTTCAATGCACAGTTTTTGAACGGTAATTTAATATCAGTTGAAATAAAACCTGTTCGATTTGAAAACAGAATAAAAAGCTTTGTAAGCTACAAATATTCACCTGATTTCAATCCTTCAGTAAAACAGAACTGAATTAGAGTGTGAATGGCTGGCTGTAACACAGAATGGTCACTGCATAGAAGGAGGCCATTCAGCCTAAATCAGCTCTCCTCAGCTAGTCACACTCTCCTGGCGTTCCCTTGTCATCCGGCAAATTAGGTTTTCAGTTTCTTATTTTTCAAATTCTTTTTTGAAAGCCGCAATTGAATCTGCCTCTGCCATACTCTCCGGCGCAAAGCTTTTCCTCAAATTGCTTTGCTTCTTTCACCAAATGTCTTAAATTTACGTTCTGTGGTTCTCAACCTTTCCATTAATGGTGCCATTTCCCATATCACTCTGTCCAGATCCCACTTAGTTTTGAACATCTTTATCATATAACATTCTTTTCTCAAGGAGAACAATTCCAACTTCTCCAATCTAGCCTTATTTTTGTGTCCAGGTATTAGGGGCTTCATTCATGTAAATATTCTCCATGCATCCCAAAAACTATCACATCTTTCCCAAACCATGTAGCCCAGAATTGAACACTCTACTCCAATAGAGGCCACATGGTGTTTTATAAGGTTCATCATAGTTTTTGTGTATTATGCCTTTAGGCTCCTGGCTGCCTTTTTAATGGCTTTCTCAACATAATTTACCATCCTCTATGATTTATGTGCACGTATGCCCAGTCTCTCTCTTTCACTGTATCCCCATTAGAATTGCCCAATTTGTTTTAGATTGTTTCCTCGTCCTTTACCAAAATGTCATGTCGCACTCTCTCTACGTCAAATTTAATCTGCTGCATGTCCACCCATTCTACCAGCCTGGCCCTGTTTCCTTGAAGTCTATCATTATCCTCCTTGTGGTTCATTATACTTTCCAAGTTTTGGGTTGTCAGCAGTCTCCAGCAGATTGTTTCAAATTATCTCATAGAACTTCTAGTCCAGAAATTAATGTGCTCAGTTGTCTGACTCTTGACTATAAGTCTTGAGTTCCTTTTGACTTGACCTGTCTTGTCTTCATAAATGTTCTCATTCATTTTCAAAGAGGAGGGAAGAATGAGGCGGTTTGGTTATTAATAGTTAGTTTAGCAGAAAGTTGATATAAGACATGAAGCTACCTGTGTTCAGGCATAACTCCTGTTTGATCGAGGTCACTGCTTGAAGCTGTGCCTTATGTTTGCAGAGATCAAATATAGAGTTAAGTATCACCTGCGGAAGTACTAATGTTGGTTCTTTTACTAATGTCTATGAAGACTTTAATCTTGACATTGCAGATCCCCGAGCATCCATCAGAGTTAAGTCTCACTGTAAAGTCCATTACAGTGCTATTTGGTCATCAGTTTATCAAAAGGACATAAAAAGATAGGTTATCCGTGTATTATTTTTCTCCAGATGTTTGTTCCATAGCCAGTTAATAACAAATTTTACATACCCCTTGTATTCTCCCCTTGTGCCACTTTACTTGGTTGCCTAATGTTCAGTTAAGATCTCCGCACACCCCAATTTGTTGTGACAAGTTTATATAACTGGGGTGCACCAGTTTTATGTAAGGAGACGCAGCTTCAGGAACACAGTTGTCCCACGTGCTCAAGTAGCTTCTCTCAATCTCTTAAAACTAGCCAATTCAAAAGGTGCTTCATCCTTTTTGGTTTAGGTCATACTCCCTATAATTTAGCCTTTACTAGTAAATATTGATACTGTTCCACATAGGGTGCACTGGAACCAGGGACATTTAATTGTGACTGCCTTCATTTTTGAATCAAACAATTTCTTTGACTTTGAACTGGCTTACTTTATGTCTGGTCTTTAGGTATAAATCCTACTGCAATACGAGGTACTAACACTGGAGTTTGGATCGGTGTCAGTGGCTCTGAGGCAGCTGAAGCTTTCAGTAGAGACCCAGAGGAGTTGCTAGGATACAGCATGACTGGCTGTCAACATGCCATGTTCGCAAATAGGCTGTCATACTTTTTTGACTTGAAAGGTGAGGAAACTTCCACTAAAAAGACCTATTGTAAATGTTATTTGATATGAAGTAGTTCATAACTGTTTCATAGAATCATACAGTATAGAAGAGGCCCTTTGGTCCATCAATTCTGTACTATTACCTACACTAGTCCCACTTTCACTCAGTAGGCCCATAGCCTTGAATATTATAACACTTCAAGTGCTCATTCAAGTAATTCTTAACGGTTGTGAGGTTTCTTGCCTCAACTAGGCACAGCATTCCAGACCCCACCACTTTCTAGGTGAAAACATTTTTCCTCATATCCCCTCTAAACCTCCTGCCTTTCAATGTAAAATGATGCCCTCTTGTTATTGACCCTTCAACTAAGGGGAACAGCTGCTTTCTATTCACCATGACCATGCCCCTCGTAATCTTATACCCGTCGATCAGCAACCCCCACTTCAACTTTCAATGCTCCATAGAAAACCAGCCGAGTTTATCCAGGCTTTTCTCAGCTGAAATTTTCCATTCCGGGCAACATCCTGCTGGATCTTCTTTGCACTCCCTGCAGTGCAATCATATCCTTCCTATAGTGTGGTGAGCAGAACAGCATATGGTACTCCAGCTATACCATAACCAAAGATCTCTACTCTAACAATCTGTGCCAAGTCTGATAAAGGTCAGTGTCCCATATGCCTTAACTACCCTATTAACCTGACTTGCCACCTTCCGGGAACTGTGGACAAACACCCCAAGATCACTCTGTTTTCCTGAGCTTCCTAGTGTCTTGCCATTCGTTCAAGTACTCCCTTGTCTTGTTCTTTCTTCTAGAGTGCATCAGCTCATTGTTTAGGTTAAATTCCGCTTGCCATTGATCTGTCCCATCTGACCAATCGTAACTTAACACCTGCCTCTTTGCTGTCAATCACCTGGCCAACGTTTGTGTCATCCGCAAACTTACTTACTGTAACTCTCATGTTCTCATCTGCATCATTTATGAATATCACAAACAATAAGGGACCCAGCACTGATCCCTGCGGTATGCCACTGCCCACCGCACTGCAGTCACACAAACCACTTTGTGCCACCACTCCCATGACTGCCACTCGTTCTGTTAAGTGTCTGTTGACAGTTACGTAAATGGATACATTTTGTTAAGGATTAGTTCCTGTCTTTGGAAACTCAGTTAGTGATTTGTACTGGGGTCAGTTTTCACTGACCTGACTCACAGGGGCCTTGACCATCACAGTATGTCACTGACACCGCTGGTTAGTTCCCTGCCTGGATAGGCTGGGCTTTCAACTGTCTGGGAGCCAGTCAGTGACGATCAGAGAAGGGCCGTTGACCACCTAATCCAGTGAGATTGCCCCCACAGCATGGTGGCAGCATTGTGACTATACACCTCACGGATATTTTGGAGGAATGTTACAAATGACTCCCTTTTCTATCTGGATTTTAGGTCCTAGTAGTTCCATTGATACTGCTTGCTCATCCAGTCTGCTGGCACTGGAAAATGCCTTCCAGGCAATTCGTCATGGCCAGTGTGATTCAGCCCTTGTAGGAGGGGTCAATCTCCTGCTGAAACCCAATACATCAGTACAGTTTATGAAACTGGGCATGCTCAGTCCTGATGGTTCATGCAAGTCCTTCGATGCTTCAGGTAGGAGACGTAAAACATCTGAAGAAGATTTTTTGTTTTAGCGTCCGAAATATTTTACAAATTGTTAACTTTAAAGTTATATTGAAGTGTTTTGTACGTGAAAAAAGCTGCTCATTGATTGATTTTCTCTAGAATATTAAAGTTGTGATTTTTCACTTTTTCCTGTTTTCTTCCATACCCAGCAGCGAGGGGTGGTGTTGGGGGGAGCGGGCACTGAAAATTGTGAACATCAAACCATTTAAGACAGTTGAGGTTGAGTTATGTGTCTTTACCATCTACAGATGGTAAAGACACACAATGGCAAGAACCTATTCTCAATTTTTCTTTTGTCACACACTCTAATTGTATTGCATTTGCAGAATCCTTTAATATCCTGCATTATTGCTTGAAGGGAAGAGGGGGTTACATAATCTATTATTTGAGAAGTATTCAACATTAAGAATAGTTTTTTTCTTTCATGATGATTTCCTCCTGAAGTGAACTGTTCCTAAAATCTATGAAGTTGTGTTCGTTTCTATTTCTAGGCGATGGGTATTGTCGATCCGAAGCAGCTGTGGTTGTGCTTTTGACCAAAAGATCAGCAGCCAAACGAGTTTATGCTACAATTGTTAATGCAGGAAGCAACACTGATGGTTATAAAGAACAGGGTATGGCGGACTTAAACATTTTAATGATCAATTAGAGGACAAAAACTTTTGCACTGAGTGCTCAGAACAGCTCTGTCCTCTAATCTGTGCATGGGAATAATCTGCCCGCTTTAATTTTAAATGCTTAAAACAGCTTTTTGTTAGTATATGATGAAAGGAAAAATTGTGGAGGTACATAATTGTCTCAAACTTTGCTTGATGTGAGCTGTATTCTAACAACTTGATGGTTAAAGCATATTTCTAACTGAGCTGAATGGTTGTTGGGACTTGCAGGATCAGAGAAAGCTTATAGGCATGACACTACAGGATTATAAAAATCCTTCCATTATTAATATAAAAACAAAGCTAATTAGTTGAGTGAGGATCAGCTCCTGAAGCATTGTAAGGTGGTGTTGCAGTAGATAATTATGTGTGTTCTATGTGGCTATGAAAACAGTGTTGGAAACCACACTGGAATATCTTTTAATAGTCAAGTACCTGTTTTCACTTGAACAGGGTGCACTGATCGCTATCTTTGTAACCTTGACAACAGGGTCATGTAGACCTTTCCTATATATTTATTCAAATTGCTGTTGCAGTTGAGCTTTATTATGTAAATATTCAATGTATCTATAGTGATTGAAGTAATATGTCAATGTTGTCAAGCAGCAGAATTCTACCAAGTCAGGGCATAGTTGTTCTTGTGAGGAAAATAAGACAAAAAGCAATTTGTTTTCAGTGCTGTAAAACTATGGTCCAAACGTAAATTATATTTTGACAGCTTCATGAATTGAAGTCTTAATTCGCCTTGATGTTTTTAAATCCATAAATGGACTTGAATTGCTATGTTTTTGATGTCTTTTATTGCTGCATTGCAGTAAAACTGTCAAGTGGGAACATTTCAACAAAATAATCTCTTGAGTATTGAAGTTTATTTGGGAAACTACTCAAGTAATAGGATTTCTCCTTTATTAAACTTGCTCAAGAATAAATCATTGCTGGTGTGGGGTAACACATTTTGAAGTTGATGAGAATGGAAGGGAACCTTGAGGATTGTCAAGTTAGCAGTGGGGTCCCTCAAAAGCACGGACAAGCTTGCCTGCTTCCAGGTGGGAAATACAGTAGCTTCTATGGTTAGCAGGTGAATAAATTCAACTGACTGTGTTTTCTGACCTGTTCTTATGTACATTGGAGAACTAGGGGCATGAGCAACAGATTAGCATTCTGCTCACCAAGTTGATTTTAATGTCTCAACATCAGCTTCTGAGGTTGGGGTGGTTTTATCATCTCGCTCCTTTTTAGCGAAAGCCATCTGTTATTGTCAGGCCATAGCTCAGCTTCAGAAAGGTCGGAAGATGGTGAAAGAAGTTTTTTTTTAAGAAGCCGCCCAGCTTATAGGTGTGTGCTATTTATAGGGTATTGTGCTGTTGAGAATTTAATGGATGTGAAGTGCTGCAGCTTATTTGGTGTTTGTCTACAATAACACATTGTTGAACAGTTTTTACTGAGTGGTAACAAGAGTTGTTCTTATGGTTTCTGCCTGTAGGTGTAACATACCCCTCTGGAGAAATGCAGCAGAAGTTAATGAAAGCGGTTTATGAGGAAGCAGGTATCTCACCTGCTGATGTGGAATATGTTGAAGCACATGGTACAGGAACCAAGGTCTGTCTACTCCCCCCATCTTTATAGTGTGCAATATGACTGCATGATGCATAGCCCAGGTTTCCTGTAGTATTCAGCCAATTTGTGATCCAGTAGTAAATCAGCAAGTTCCAGATTTCTGCTCACATTGGTATCCACTAATCTTCCAGTGTCTACCAGATGAAGTACTCACTTGCTTACATAAATAAGGCACATACTGACATCATATGTCTGATGTTTTATTGATCTCAACCACTTTCCTTTAAGATTTGCCTGAATTATAAACTTATTTTTACATTGTAACCTTTTATATAATTATCCAAATCTCCTGAAAAAAACCTTCAATGGACCTACGAACAACACTACTGTTAACGAAAATAAAAACCACAAGAACTGTGAATGCTGCAAATCAGGAACAAAAACAGAAGTTGCTGGAAAAACTGAGCAGTTCTGGCAGCATCTGGGGGAAAAAAAAAATCAGAGTTAACGTTTCGGGTCTGGTGACCCCAGTGTTCTGAGGAAGGGTCAGTGGACCCGAAACGTTATCCCTGATTTTTTTTTTTCTTCAGGTGCTGCCAAACCTGCTGAGCTTTTCCAGCAACTTTGTTTTTATTACTATTGAAGAATCTTGTCTGTAACATGATGTGGACAAGGAAAAGCAAGTGTTGAATGGAAGGTGGTAAAAGTCTGGAGAGCATTTCAAAAGCGTCTCAACCCACCAGCAGAAAAATGCTCAGAATGATTGTGTTCTGTAAGGACACCAGTAACAAATATGCAGTCACAGCTGCAGTCTGAAACCTGGTTGTATCCTCTTGCAGGCTTGCTGATATATGGGTTGGTAGACTGGTGCAGAAGGCAACACTTCTTACCTTTTATCTCAATCAGCTCTTCTTCAGCTTCAGCCAGTATAAAGAAGGCCAGACATTGGACTTTCCCTGACTAGTTACAAGAATTCAAAGGATAGATGGACTTCAGAAGTATCAAGCCAGTCTTTCTGCCAGCGCACAGCTGTCAAATGTTCACTTCTTGTTTTTGTTTTATGTAGGTTGGTGACCCACAGGAGTTGAATGGAATTGTGAATGTTTTTTGCCAATTTGATCGCAGGCCCTTATTGCTGGGATCGACCAAATCAAACATGGGCCACCCAGAGCCTGCATCGGGATTGGCTGCTTTAGCAAAGGCAAGTCCCCTACTGGTTTACCCATTGCTTTCACACAACTGTTCCATAATGTGGCGCCTGGAAAATGGACATGTTTTTGTTTGCTAATTTGTAGACCAAATAGATAAATATTGATGGACCAGCATATTGAATGATTCTTAACCTTGAGATTAATTTTCATGGAAACCTTCCTTTCCCCCATGTCAGGTTGTACTCTCTTTGGAACACGGTCTGTGGGCTCCCAATATTCACTACGAAACTCCCAATCCTGATGTCCCAGCCCTGCAGAATGGATGTATCCGAGTAGTGACTGAACCTATCCCTGTGAAAGGTGGAATTGTGGGTGTTAATTCCTTTGGATTCGGAGGTTCCAATGTTCATGTCATTCTGCGTCCTAATGTAAAGAGAGTTTCTCCTTCAAAGCCCCTGGCACTTCCACGTCTGGTCCAAGTAAGTGGCCGTACCCCTGAAGCCGTTGAAACACTGATTGAGCAAAGCAGGCAACGCAGCAACGATGTGAATTTTTTGAGCCTGCTGAATGATATTTCTACAATGCCTGTCTCTGCAATGCCCTACCGAGGTTACACCCTGGTCGGAAGTGAAATGGATGCTAAAGAAGTGCAGCAGGTGCAGTCTTCTGGAAGATCACTTTGGTATATCTGTTCAGGTTGGTGTCTTTTAAACACTTCTTCTCGTGAATAGAAAGGGTTTGGTGGCCATGACACTGTTGGAATTAACGAGAATAACACAGATATCTTGTGAATCTTGTCATAATGTACAGATCTTGATTCTTCATGCACATTAACATTTTTAGATATATGGTAATTGGCCATTACCTGAATTTGGGATTGTATGACCAACCATCACAGAGTATGTAACTAACAGAATAATCTTATTTGCAAAATACTATTAATGTGCTCCAACAGGAAGAAGAATTGTGGTACTGAAATAGCTGTGGTTTGATGAGAACATGGACTTGTTAACTTCTTGTTGTTTGAGCCTTCAATTAAACTTGGTGCATTGGGAGCAAAACCAGACATGGGAGTGGGTGGGAAAATGCATCAGTGTCTCTATATTTGGTGAATATTAGATTATTTCTTCTAAGTATAATACAAGACTGTGATTTAAAAGACTTTGAGCTACTCAACTGATGTATTTCATCTAGTAGATATTTTGCTCTTAGTCTATAATTATACTTAATTTTCTACCTGTAAAAAGTAGACATTTTATAAGGGAGGGTAGGCCTCCTTTTCAGCGAAATATACTTCGGCCTGCTACCCTTTTTAGCTTCTACTGCTCAAATTTTTGTTTTGCTAAGAACTTTATGCGGGTGGAGAAACTATTTGAGTTGTTTCCTTGCAAATTGACATGACATGCAATACACACTAGGGAGAGAGCTGATTTTTTTCTTTGGTTTGTTTTTATTCTTTACTGAGCTGTGGCAAGCATTTTTGCCTATCCCAATTTGCTCTTGAATTGAGTAGCTTTTTAGTTAAGAGGGAGCCACATTACTGTGGATCTGGTGTCAAATGTAGGCCAGACCCGGTAATGATGACCAGTTTCTTTCCCAAATGAACTTCAATGAACCTGATGGGTTTTTGACACAATCAGTAGTTACATAGTCACAGTTACAGAGGCTAGGTGACCATTTTCAGAAATTACTACTTGAGTTTTCATTCCTCTAGCTGGGATTTAAATCCCAATGTGCCCAGTGTGTTAGCCTGGGCCTCTGGATTACCAGTCCAGTGATATTACCATACACTTTCGTCTTGCCCCGATAATTGACCAACAAAGTAAATCAAAAAGCTGGTTTGTTCAATCAATCGGGATTCGGTCTTTTTTTGTACCTTGGCAGCACCAATGAGAAGATAGAGATAGTCTTGTACTTTATTTCAACTGAATGTTACTAAAGTGACAATTCTACTGATGTGTTGTTATTCCCCCAGGCATGGGAGCTCAGTGGATTGGAATGGGTCGCACTCTGATGAAATTGGACATATTCCATGAATCCATTCTGCGTTCTGACAAAGCACTAGAAACGACTGGTTTGAAAGTATCTGAACTCCTTGTGAGTGCTGAAGATACAACATTTGATGATACTGTGCATGCCTTTGTAGCTCTCGCTGCCATTCAGGTAAAAAAAAACTCCCTCTGTTATTGTTAAAACATCTTCTTATTAAAAAATCAGAATTCTGCAAATGACTGTACTTTGGTCTTGGTCTGCTTTTAACTACAGATTGCTCAAATAGACATGTTGAAGGCTCTAGGTCTGCAACCAGATGGCATTGTTGGGCACTCAGTGGGGGAGCTGGCCTGTGGCTATGCTGATGACTCACTAACACATGAGGAAGTTATACTAGCTGCCTACTGGAGGGGGCGCTGCATCAAGGAGGCCAAATTGCCAGCGGGAGCAATGGCTGCTGTTGGTAAGTGACTGAATGACCATCTCACATCTTGCAGGTTTCAGAAGCAAAACTGTTGAATTCCTTGGATGGTTCAGTAAGCTCCTTCAGTGAGCAACTGAAGTGCATAGCCTGCAAAATTCTTGGAGTAACCACAATTTCTCAGTTGGTGCATGACATCCGCATCCCTGGCCTTGGTACAGTTAGCAAAGCTTCTTGTTCCTGGACACTGTCCAGAGAAAAGAGCTGAAACAGCAGAAACATTGATGTCACAAATGTTAGATAAGGACAGGATCACACTTGGCTAAGGTGAAAATCCTGCTGACACTAACGTCAGAGCACACATGTGATCTCTGGTGACATATAGCTATGTAATCGGACCCCAGCAGTGTATCAACTCTGTCAGGAAGGGAGGGGAAGAGAGACAGCTGATTATGCGAACTGTGAGAGACATATTAAAACAATGGAGCGAGCCAGAAGTCAAATTCGCTTTGATTTAATCATACAGAATTTAAGTTCAAGTAGATGGACAGAATGGTGTTCCTGTTTACTTCATGCCAGAAACAAGCACTGGTTCCAATTTAGTTCTACCACTGTTGGCTGTTAGGTTTCTACCTGAAATGAGTTTGAACACTATGATCCGAACCCTACTTAACGATATGAAATCTCCTTGACTGGCCTCATTATCATTGCTGTGGACTAGAAAGTGATTAATATTGGGAGTGTCAACGGTGTAGGTGTACTATTGTTCATATTACTAGTCAGCTCCTCAGTGAACACAATGTTAAGATTCTGGCTGATGTTATTACCGTGCCATTACCAAGTAAAATCCCAGACTGAAAGTTGGCTTGATAAATCATATTTTCTTTTCATTTAACAAGGTGATCTTTCACTGAAACACAAGCACACAATACTACAAGTTTAACTTGTGTTTTATTGTTTAAAATTAATTATGCAAAAGAAAAGAATTTAGAATAAACCAAATTTGCATATTACACATCTTGAGAAAAAAATTACTTCATGGAAAATATACAATTCCATCTATTCCAAAACCATCTCCTTACTGTATTCGAACACCCAGAGGCAATTAATTCCTTTCTTAATCACATCCACATGTTTGACTTACCTTTTCTTTCTCAATCCCCAGTCTTGAATTTGGTAGCCTTTTCCTTGGTTAGTCATACAACTGAGAATAGACTTACTCAGCTTCAGGTAATTGCTTCCAGTTCTAACCAAACACTTCTTGTCTGGAATTTTCACATTCAAGCCTTTTACACTGAGGTAACCTATTTCCTAACAATTTAAACAAGCTCCTTTCTTCAGGAGAAACCATTTCATACATCTAATTTCCTCTAGTACCTCTGCAAACTGAATACAAAAGCTTTCTAAGCTATGGACTTTTTTCCCCTAAGCAAATAAAAAGACAATTCATGATCCTTTTAATTGGAAGGCAAGCTAATGCTCTTTTTAACGTTTTCTCTCTGTGCTCCTAAAACTCTGCCAGTGCCAACAAATTCTCATTATCACCCAGGGACCTCCTCTCAGATATGCATTGTAAAAGAATGGTGTCTCCAGCAACACTGTCTAGTTAATCATTAACATACGCACACTTGTGCACAGACCAAAACCTACCCGCCACTAGTTTAAAACCCAAACTCCCAACTGAATGATAGTAAGATATCACCTTACGTAACAGTGACCAAAAAGAAAACATTAGCTGAAAATAAGTTGTTGTGCCTATAAGAAATTCCATTAAGGCAAGTTCCCAGTGGTTAGAGCAAAAATGTATTAATTAAATAATTAATCAATCAATTGGTGGGGAGGTGGGAAGAGTGAAAAATTACTGACATATTATTCTTAATGCATGTCCAGTTATGGATTAATCCAAGCCAATGTATAGGAAAGTGACCATCGTTTTCAGGGAAACAATCTGGCATATTAAAAAACCGCTCATGATCTGAGAGTATTGGCAATGCAAGAAAGAGTAAGAAATTGGAACATTGAGCTAAATTATTCTTATTGTAATATTTCAATATCTGACAGGGCTGACCTGGAACGAATGTAAGATGCAATGTCCAGAGGGAGTCGTCCCAGCCTGCCACAATGCTGAGGATACTGTCACCATCTCTGGACCACAAGTAAGGCACTGAATGTAGTTAGTAATGAGGAAGTCTGCATTGAACAGAAGAACATTTTTTATCTCCAGTGTGCATCTTCCAACTTTTTTAAAGTAAAAACAATCTTTGCTCTTTTTTTTAATTCCTCATTCACAATATGTGGACAGCACTCATAAGGTCAGCATTTATTGTTTATTTCTAAATAACTTGAGTGGCCTTTTCAGAGAGTAACAGCACCCAGTTTGATGTAATCAAGTGCAGGCTAGGTCAGGACGAATATAACAATGAATTTCCTTTCCGAAAGGACATTAGTGAACCAGTAGCATTTTTAATAACAATCCTGGTTGTTTTGTGCTCACAATTTACTGAGAGCCACCTTTTTTTTTAAGAATTCCAGATTCACTCAATTAACTGAATTTGAATTGCCAAGCTATTGTAATGACCTTTTGAATGTGTGTCTCTAGATCAATTTAGTCCAGGTCTCTGGGTTCCCAGATAGAAAGCAGCTATTTAAAATGGTTACTCAACACCATGTTCTCAAGGGTGCTCTGGGAAAGGCAACAAATGCTGGTAGTGCCAATGACCTCCCCTACAAGTGAATGAATGTGGAAAAAAAATAAGGCAGTGATAATGTTGAATTCATGTAATTGCGATTCTAAATAGTTCAATATTGGAAGGATTTTAACCATCAAAATGACACCTCCATAATTAATAGAATGATGCTAGGAATGAAAGATTCGACAATATTTTTGTTCATTCATGGGATGTGGGTGTCACTGGCTAAACCAGCATTTATTGACCATCTGTAATTGATCAGAGGGTGCTAAAGAGTCAACCACATTGCTGTAGGAGTGGAGTCAGATGTAGGCCAGAGCAAGTAAGGATGGCAGAATTCCTCCCCTAAAAGACACTTGTGAATCAAATAGGCTTTTCCCTTGAAAATCATCATTAGACTCTTATCTCCAGATTGTTATTGAGTTTAAATTCCACCATTTGCTATCGCAAGATTTAAACCCAGTCACGAGAACATTATCTGGGTCTCTGGATTTATAGCCTCGTGATAATACCTCCTAAAGCCATCTAATCTCTAGAGTCTAGGGTTTGGGATTTGGGATTATTTTCAGTGGCACAGAGATTAAAGGGGGTCAAACATGAGTCTGGTCAAGTGCAGATTGGTGAAAAAAGCATGGATTGAGATGGAACACAGGAATGTAGAGTTGTTAAATGATTTTTTTTTTGGAAAATGCATTATTATAACATTGAAGATCAGAGTTTCCACTCCAGTGCGTTGGGGTTTTTTTATTGTTTTTGGAGCAATTTGCCTGTGTAATCAAAACATTCAATATACATCAACTTTCAATATACATCAACTTTCAACAATCTTTTGTGATATGACCTGCTAAAAGTAGATGCTGCCCATAAAACACCAGGGGCGTTTTAGTGAGTTGTCCTCCTTTTGTACACTTTGAGGGAGGCACCAGCTCCTTAGTGAGATCTTCTGGCTATAAAACCACTGATTGATTTAGGTTTGCCCTGAAAGGACTTTTGGAAACATTTCTTTAATTGAACTAAGGGACTAACTGCTGTGTCCTAATCTAGTGAGAAAATAGTTTTGCTTGTATCTAAAAGTAAGTTTCAGTAGTTTAAAACATGATACTCACAGATAGTGGATTGTCACTGGTTTTATTTATATATAATAATTCGATTTTGTTACTACAGCTGAAATTTACTGAGCAGTTGCTTTCTTAATTAGACAAGGGAATATTTTTAAAACAGATTTTCTTCTATATAAAATTAGATTTTAAAATAATGTTGCTGCTTTGCTTTTTGTGATTATGGAAATAAATTGGAATTCCGAGGGACTGAAAGAGATGGTCACCATTTGTTGTTTGCCCCCAAAATGAAACCTACCAACTGTGGCTATTGAGACAATGACAATATGTCCAGTTTAAAAGTGAATGGGATGAATATTTGAAGATAAGTAATAGGAAACAGCAAGCTACTGGGCAAAAATTTATCTCCCAGATTAAGGGCAGACAAAATATGTTGTTTGATTGCCTGCTGTGTTATAAATGATGATCCTCATTCATTTTTTCTGTTTCCGTGTTAGGAAGCTGTAAGTAAGTTTGTGGCCAAGCTGAAGGAGGATGGGGTCTTTGCAAAAGAAGTTCGCAGTGCAGGAGTTGCATTCCATTCCTACTACATGGCTTCCATCGCCCCGACACTTCTAAACGCACTACAGAAGGTAAAGGCCATCGTCTTTCTGGAAAATACGTTTGGAAATAAAGACTGGACAATGTCAGTGCAGTGACCTGGTTTGTGTAGAATTTTGAAAGCCTTTCAATCATGTCCCACGTGGGATACCAGCAAAATAGATCAGGCATATAGTACTAATGGTTAGCTCGATGATCGGGCTAGGAGGACCGGGGGCAGGGTTGACCGGGGTGGGTAAGAGTCAATACAGTGGTGTAGTGGTGAGGGCCACAGTGCTTCAGAGAGGTTGACCAGAAGGCTGGGGCTAGTGGGAAGATCTAGGGAGTGTAGAGGCTGGAGATTGAGGTACTGGGATTGACAGTGAATTAAGTGTCAACCCTCATGTCATGCTGCTTAGCACTGATGCTGACTGTCCACGTTCCAAACCAACATTGTGAAGGGAACAGAAGCAGATGGTACATCCCTTATCTTCTTATACCAAGTTGCTAATTACTATTGCTGACATTGGTAGAGGATTCCTCTTACTTGGCTTTTTAGGAAAAATAATGCCTAGTGCAGCCCTTAACAGGATTGTGCAAATGCAGTGTGGCTGCTTTTTGGATACACAATCACATCCAAAGCACTGAATCCCCAACACTTCAGAGTTGAATTTCTAACCCATATAGTCATCGTTAGCTAATTCTTCCAAATATATTTTGCTTAAGAAATTAATTCCCTATAAATATTTGTGTTTGATTTTTGAATAATTGGGTTTTGTATTTTGCACTGATTCTGTATACTTTTTTTTTTTCCTCACTCCTCCCATCGACAACCATCACTACCTTCCTGACAACAGGTTATAACTGTTCCCAAACTCCGTTCTGCTCGCTGGATCAGTACTTCAATCCCAGAGTCCAAATGGGGCAGTGATCTGGCCAAGTTCTCCTCTGCTGAGTATCACGTAAACAACCTGGTGAGCCCAGTCCTGTTCCAGGAAGGACTGCAGCATATTCCGGATAATGCTGTCGTGGTTGAGATTTCTGCTCATGCCCTGCTTCAGGTATCAGCCTTTCTTCTTTTACTTTGAACGGTTTGTACCAGGGACTTTGTGGAAGGTCCCATTGAGTTGGAGAGTGTGCTTGCTATTAGGTTTAAATTTTATGGTAATACAAGGTGGGGGTGTCTTTCAAAATTTCAGTTGCATTCAGTTTCAACAGTTTTGAAATCCATCATAACATCAAGAATGTTTCTGGTAGAGAATACTCCATGTTGTGGTTTGGATTGCATGTATTAATTGTGAACAACTGCACCTTTTTGGATTTGACAACTTTGTGGTTAATAATTACTTTAAAGGTCTTTTAATATTGATAATGTACAAAGAGATTTGACACTCTTGGAAAGAATTGCAGAAATTTACAGAAACCAAAGATGCTATTTGGCCCTTTGTGTCCATGCTGGCTGACAAGTAACCGTTCAGCAGAATCTCACTTTTTTTCCGGCTTTTATTCCATTGCCTTGTTGGTTATGCCACTTCCAAGTGCGCATGTGCTTTTAAAATGTCATGTCAGTTTCTGCTTCTACCACGTTTCAGGTTGTAGGTTCCAGACACCCTCTGGTGAAAAAGATCACCCTTCAAATCCCCTTTCCTCCTCACACTAAATCTGTGCCTCCTAATTCTGAATCCCTCAGCAAAGGTGGGTAGAGCTTTTTCATTCACTTTAATCTCTTCAACCTATTCAGAGATGTTATTCACACACCTTTGGAGCAGGTGGGACATCAACCTGGGCCTCCTGTCTCAGAGGTAGGGAGTCTAACACCATGCCATAAGAGCCCTTCTTCATTCATTCTATCTTGTGACCCTCTGTAATTTTATACATTTCAATTAGGTCTCCTCTCAGTCTTTTTCACCCCCGCCACCATCCAAAGAATCAAACCCACAACTAAAATTCTCCACCCTAGGCAACATCCTTATAAGTGTCCTCTGTATTCCCTGTAACACAAACACGTCTTTACTATGACACAGTGTTACAAAGCTTTGATTGGAGTTGCCTTTTTCAGTACACGATGGAGAACAAAACCATGTGTTGGTGCCTACATTTTATTAGTTCCTGTAATTTCACACAGTTTTTATACTACGGTAGATGAGTTATTTTTCAGCTTATGGACGTTTTTGAGGACATTAGAAAACAAGTTGCAAAAATGCATTGTTCTGCTTTAGATTGTAGGGAGCTATAGGAGGTTAATTGTTATTGCTCAATGTAAAAATGTTTAAAGATTGTGAATGCTACTCCTGACAAGCATTTGCTCCCTACTTCAGGCAATTCTGAAACGAAGTTTGAAGCCGTCCTGTCTTATTATCCCTCTGATGAAGCGAGGGCACAGCAATAACCTGGAGTATTTCTTATCTCACATTGGCAAAATCTACGCAAGTGGGTAAGTGATTAGTCTTGAGGAGAAAGTGTTTTATGAATTGAGAATTTTAAATTTTGAGTAGGAACACGTTCAAATCCTTTTGTATAACTAGCTGCTCGCAATCCACAGTAAAATGCCTAGTTTTTCCACTTAGACAGCCATTGCAACACTCATTAATCAAAAAGTCAGTCACGACGAGAGTGAGAGGAAACATTTGTCACAGTACAGGTTCTTTCAGCTTTAGTAACAGGACAGATGGGCTGCCTGCTGTGCGATGGCTTTTAATGCCAGTTTTATTATTGACTGAAAATGGGAGACTGAATGAGTGTGTTTCCTTGCTCTTCACTTAAGGTTCATGTGAGAGTGTGCTACTCTGCCTGCTGGGCTGTTTTCAAAACAGCCAGCTCCTAATTTTGGTGGGTAAAATGCAGTGGGGAAAACCAAAGGCATATGGGGTAAAGGGCCAAGATATTTAATTCAGTATAGTATGAAAAGGCCAAATAACTCAAAGGAGAGTCATTAGATAATACCAAATGTGGATGTCAAAAGCCTTGTGGATTATGAGCTGATGGAGAGGATTGGAACACTTCCGCAAGGCAGCACTCCTAGACTATGACTACAGTTAACCAAAACTAGATTCAAAACTTGGAGGGTGAAGCAAATGTCCATGGCTGACTGGAATTGTGGGGAGGAGATTAGTGAGAGGTACTATTTCGGGGCCCTCAAAACAGTTAAGTAACCTCTTGAACTTTCCATAAGATCATAAGAAATAACTGAGAAAGGGCCATTTGGCCCTTTGTATCTGCTCTGCCATTCAATAGGATTGTGGCTGATCTGACATTCTTCACATCTACTTTCCTGCCCTTTTCCTACTGAGCAAGAATCTATCTGTCTCATCCTTAAATATACTGCTGTAGGACTAATTCTGTTTTTGAGCCCGCAGTATCTGCCATAAGCCTTCTTTTTTATTTTTTGTTTTTTCTTCATCCAATCCTTGCCATCCAGTGTTCTTTTGGACTTGTTGTTCCCACCCTCTACTTTTTTGGGAGCATGTTGGCCCTGCACTCTCACTGTTTCCTCTTTGAATTACTCCTACTGCTCTGATGTGGATTTTCTGGCACATTGCTGCTCCCAGTCCAGTCCACTTTTTTGGTTAGATCGTGTTTTATAAGATTAAATCCAGCACCCGCGCATTCCCACCCCCAGCACCTCCCCCCCCCCCCCCCCCCCTGCCAAGTTTTTAGAACAGTTTTACTCTGGTCCATTTTTGTACTTTTCCATAACAATATTAAATCTTACAAAATTATAGTCACTATCACCTAATTGCCCTGCAGTGCTCCCTAAGACTCGGTCCAGCAGCATCCTGTCCCTGTAGGACATTCTGCATACTGGCTAGAAAGCTCTCCTAGATACCTTTTTTTAAGAACTGTGCCTCCTGTAATCCTTCCACACTTTATCTATCCCAGTTAATTTTGGAGGAAGTTGAAATCCCATATGATTATTACCCTATTGTGTTTACTATTGCCACTATTGCTCTTCCTCTGTTTCTCCTGACCCCTTGCGCATCTAGTCTCTGGCTGCTCTCCCCAAGAAATTGTTATTGTTATCATTTTCCAATGCAGAAAAACTGTTCTTGTGTGAGATGTGCTCTGTGGTTTCCCTGACTACTTGCTCCCTTCTTCTAATGCTCGTCTATTTCTTCTCTGACCACACTTCCTTAGGCTGTGGGGTGACCATGTCCAAAACCATGCTGTTCACATAACTCTCAGCCTTGTAAATGAACTGCAGTACTTCCTGGGAGAAAGAAATGCAGTGATCGCAAAAGTAGTGGGCTGTTAAAATTTACATCTTGAATAATAATGTCATTTTTTGTTTGGCAAGTGCTTTTAAAGACCTGTCCAAATACTTGCCCAAAAATTTATTCCCCTGTCATACCATGGATAGTGATCTGAAGTAGGAAATCTGGCAGAAGTTGGCATCTATAAATCAATTAGATAATGTGCCCTGGATGGCACAGTTACCTGCATGGCAGAAGCATATTTTGAGGTTGCATGGCACAGCCCAGAATTTTCCATCTGTGGATTTTAATTTCCTGGAATAGGAATGCAGAATTTTCTAATGTCCATCCCCTGCGTGTACCTCAAGTGCTGAAGTAGGAAATCCACACCCCAGGTTTAAAGCAAAAAACTTCCTGATTATTGCAAGTTTTTTGTTTTATTCAATTCACGATTGGATTTTAAACCTGGATGCATTTCCACTTCCCATAATAACAGGAGAATCTGTCTCAAACTGACTCTGGAACAAACAAGTCAGTTGCAGCAACAATTTACTGGTTAAATCAGTTTCCCATGTAGGTTTGATGTGATCTTAAGTTAATGCACCTACACTGTGATTATCATATCTAAATTACATGAAAGCTTTCAATGCTCATGTGTTATTTTGAAATGACAGGGCAAACCTGGATTCCAACAAGCTATTCCCACCTGTGGAGTATCCAATCCCTGCTGGAACCTCCTTAATATCCCCTCACATCACATGGGACCACAGCCAAACCTGGGATGTACCCAAGACTGAAGATTTCTCCTCTGGTTCTGGCGGGTTAGCAGCGGCTACAGTATTTAACATTGGTGAGTTGGTACACTGTCAAAAGCCTCCTGTATAGCTGCAAGAAATCTTCTACATTTTACTTGGCTGATGGTGATTAAACATGCATGCTTTTTTGGTTTAGCTTTTGGATATTGTAAAACGTAACAGCTGGAATATGAAACATATTCAGACAATATAAGTTGAATTTAATTTTTATAGCTGTGTGTTCAATGAGTTTATTTTGATATCTTGTTGATTTTGTGCCCTCCATTCAGATATGAGCCCTGAATCTCCAGACAGTTATATAGTTGACCATTGCATCGATGGGAGAGTACTTTATCCAGCCACTGGATATCTAGTTCTGGCCTGGCGAGCACTGTTACGACTGACTGGAGCTGTTATGGAACAGACACCTGTAATATTTGAAGATGTTGTTATACACCGGGCAACCATCCTTCCAAAAACAGGTACCATGTTCAGATTGTTAACATTGTGCACTTCTTAGATATTCAGTTCCCTGTTTTGGATGAAGGTCATGTAATAAATGAAAATAGTGGTCTTCTGAATTCTGGAACATTCTATGCATTGCAGTATGAGTTTACAACAGAAATAGGACAGTAGTGTAGAGATTGGTACCATTTGGGAACAACAAAGAAAAATAAGGTACTTCAAATTTATGAAGAGGCTTGTGAGTTCAAAATCACAGAATTGATATGGTGCGGAAGGAAGTCGTCATGCTTGCTCTGGTTCTTCAAATGAGCATCATTATGTAGTGCTAATTTCCTGCTTTTTCACAGTACCCTCACACACTTTCTATCCAAACAATAATCCAAAGCCCTTTTGAATGCCTCAATTGATCCTGCCGCCTCCACCACCTTTCCAGAGAAGTTATGTCTTTTAAAATGTGAATTTTTCTTTTCTGTTTTAAGTGGCAGCATGTTCAACGTGAAAATATTGATCTAAGCTGGCAAGGCCTTTCTAAAGAAAAAGAGACAACACGGTATGGAGCCGGAGGAACACACCAGGCCAGGCAGCATCAGAGGAGCAGGAAAGTTGATGTTTCTGAAGGGTCCCGACCCGAAACGTCAACTTTCCTGCTCTTCTGATGTTGCCTGGCCTGCTGTGTTCCTCCAGCTCCATACTGCGTTACCTCAGACTCCAGCATCTGCAGTTCTTGCTGTCTTTTTTTTTAAAAAAAATTGTTTTTCCTGAATCTAGTTACTTTTTTTTTAAATGCTATTTATAAAAGAATATCATTTCTGTAACCCTGAAATGTGGAAATTGTTGGTGAGACAGATGGAAAACAAAATGTAAAGACAAAAAACGTTTAATTTTGACATTCCCTGCACCCCTTCACCTTCCACCGCACCCCCAAACACTTAGTGTTACAACTACGGAGCTGTTCAACAGCTCCATGTTCTTCTCTTTCTTGATTACCTGCACCGCCAGGACAAAGAAAGGTAAGGGGGAAAGAAATAGTAAACTTGGTGAGAAAAAAGGCAAAGGAGCATTTGGTGCTCTTTCTATGGTTTTATTTCATTTGTGTAGCATCATGCATTAAATATGTACTATTTCTTTATAGACTGTTAAGATTTACAGTTCATACAGGTGAGCTTATTTGAACCAAAAACATTTTGTGAATTCCTCTCTCAATACATTTTTATCTTGTACTTTTTTTCAAGGCTCCGTACAGCTTGAAGTGCGGCTTATGCCAGCATCAAATAGATTCGAGGTCTCTGAGAACAATAGCCTGGCTGTTAGTGGTAAGTTACATTGGTTGAAGTTTTGCTCCTAATGAGACAAGTGTATGGTGTTGACTGTTCTAACAGCTGCATGATTAAAAGGAAAGTCCAAGGGCTTGCTGCAGACTCAAACAAAATGCCAGCAATTGGGGCAGATTTTGCTTGTACGAATATCAGAGGCACATTATGAAAGTGGAGGCTCTTCAATGAGTAAGCATCGGGGTTTCACCTTGTTCATAAACATGGTCTTCTTAAATTTTATGCTGAAAGCATTGACTCCTTTTTGATAGAATGTGTTTTCACATGTGGATCTTATCATTTAATACCTCAGCCAAGTGACTACTGTTCATGTGTATGCATTGATGTTGAGTGGCCACTGGTCTGTCTGTATGCCTGGGGATATTTGTCTCTTTGCTGAACCCACACAGTCATCCAGTCTGAGTCATTCTGCAGTACCAGGAATTAGAGCTTTGGCTTAGACTTTCGACCCCTAATCACCGTTTGCAGTCGGTTCTGATATAGCGCATATTTCTTTAACACGATTGAAGAATTAAAGAATGATATTTGTAGAATGTGAACTTCCCTACCTGTATTGGCTGTAACACGATTCCGTCCCTATTAGTTGAAATGGCATTGATATTGCGCAATTTTTTTTTTAGCACCCTTATAATATTGTTTTGGAGGTGAACATTTAAAATCCATCAAATTGGTTGCACCATGACCACCACCTGTGCACCCATCACCTCAGAGTGTTGTATGGGTTCAGTGCCATGGCAGAAAGCTGGCAACCAAGGGAACTGCATTTCTATGGTTAAAGTTGACATCATTGGCTCATTAAACACTTTTTAGTTTGGACTCCAACCACTGCTAGGTATTTTGCTGTCACTGCTACTATATCCTACTTCTGCGTTGAAGTATGTCAGTGAGCCAGTCTGATGTTTTATTTCCCCTAATTTTGTTGTCTGCCAGCTCCAAAACATGCCTCCACAGGGCAGAGAGAACTTTTCCTTTGCCTTAGTGCTATCCTTTTATGTCTATCAATGAGAAATGTCCTTGCTTTATTGTTATGACTCGTTTCACATTGAGGTTTATAAGTTTGAATTTGGAAGTAGTATGTGCAGTGTGTGAACAAAGTTCTGAATTTAATAACAGATTTCTTAAATTGCTGTGAGTGAAATGACAGGGCCTGCACAATAACCAGATGGCCACTTTTTTCATAAGTCAAAGTTTTTGAACGTTGGGGTGGTCATAATTCATACAAGAGAAATAACTAGTTGTGAGCCTTATTGGTGTGCTGTAATTGATTGTGCTGTAATGATAAGAATATAATCTTACTAATCCAAACTTCTCTTACTTGTTTCAAGTGGTGCACTTATGCTAAATGGTTATTTGATTTAATAAAATATTTTTGAACACAATGCCTTGTGTTAAATTAAGCAATACGGAAGAGTTCTCAATAATGTATTCACATCACAAAAGAACAAATATGCACCAAGTCTTGCAAATATTCTTCTGTCGTAGAAATTGCAGGGGCTATTTACCAAGAATTTAATTGAACATGTTATATTACTCATTTCAGGGAAAATATCTGTTTTGGAAGAAACAGCCCTAAATGACTTTAGAAATCAGCTAAATGCGAGTGCAAAGTTTGAAGATACAGACATGACTTCCTGCCTCTCTCCAAGAGATGTTTATAAAGAGCTGCGCCTACGAGGGTATGAATATGGAAAAAACTTTCAGGGAATCTTAGAAACGAACAATGCTGGTAAGTGCCATCCTGAAACTTTGGTTTTGTACTTTAGAAATAGGCACACCAAACACACAGCCTGTGTTCAACTGCAGTGTAATATATTAAGATCTCCTCCTTTTTCTTATGCCAGGAGATAAAGGAAGGTTGCTGTGGTCTGGGAACTGGGTGACACTTTTGGATACCATGTTGCAGATGATTGTGGTCGGGCTATCGGGCCGCAGCTTGAGAATACCAACGCGGATTCGCTCTGTGTGCATTGATCCACAACTTCATGAAGAGAAAGTCCAAGATTACCAGGAAAATAGAAAAGGTTATTGAGGACATTTTTTCCCCCCCAAACAATAAACTTGATAAAACTATGATTTGAATGTTTCTCCTTCAATCTGAGGGATGTTATGTCATTGAGCACTATACAAATGCTGTCCTTGGTTGCAGCTGGCAAATTATAGTTCACTTCTTTAGCAACTTTGTATTGTGATATCAAATGGTAAATTTAAGCCAAGTTTGGAAATTAAAAACATACAGAATATTTTGTTCTGAGTTTCCAGCAATTTAGCTACTTTGTCAGGCTGCCACATATCTACTAACAGACAGTG